TCATGTTTGTCAAAGAGATATAAAGCACAAAATAATAAAATTTGTAGAAGCAAAGATTAAAGAGCCATCACAGCAATCAAAGACTTTACAAGCGGTATTTCAGTGGATCCACCTCTATCATCAACCTGGTGCCGGTGCAAGTACTGTTATAAAACATGTCCTATGGGAGTTCCGCAAAAAATACAGATGCATCATTCTAAACAAGATCACTGATCAGACCGAGTCTCAGATTTTGGAAATGTGGAGCTATGGAGAAGAGGGTGACGACAGAAGGCTGTGTTTGCCCATTGTTATCGTCAGTGATAACCTTTGCTATGATGATTTGACTGACATGATTATTTCGCTGGAATATAAGACAAAAAATATTCCTGACCGAACATGCATTATTTTGAACTGCAGACGGAATTTATCACGAAAAGAAGGAAAAAATGAACAATCCGAGTCACATCACTATAACTTCTCTTTGGAGCATTCACTTTCTGACAAAGAGAAAGCATGGTTTCAAAATAAACATGATCAGCTTGAGGTAAAGATGAAGAAAGATAAAGATTTCATGCCAGACCGCCTTCTTGCTTTCATGGTGATGAAGGAGGAGTTTCAATCAGAGTACGTAAAAAAAACAGTCAGCAGAATTCTTAGTAATCTCCAAGAACAACATCCACAAGAACTTGAGTTGATAAAGTTCTGTGCTTTATTTAGCAAGTTTGAGCGTGACTCTGCCATTCCAATTCCATGCTGTGATGAGTTCATGGGCTTCGCCTTTTCTGTAAAGAAGAAAAGAGAATGTCCATGGGAGTATGATATATCAGAGGGCAGTTCACTTTTAATGATTAAAGTTGATATCTTTGAGGTAGGAAGCGTACAAGGATTTAAGATTGTCCACCCAAAAGTAGCTGATTTCATTTTAAAAGATACGACTTCCGAACCCCTTAACTCCATAGTGGATAACTATCTCAGTTCCAAGTTACTTATTGCAAAATCACACAGCAGAGAATATCTTGCTGCAAGAACACATGATCTTCTTATAAAAAGAAACCCTACAGGGTTTGACCCATCTAATAAACCGGCATTTTCAGCTCTTATACTTGCGATAACTGAAGTTGACAGAGAAGCAGCTTGTAGAGTACTTATTCTGGGGTTCCACATTCTAGAAGATCCTATGATTGCTCAACAGATTGCAAGATACTACAGTCTTGTAATAGAAGATTACACAAAGGCATTGGAGTTCATAGAGAAGGCTATCGATATGAGAAAAGAAAATTCTTTTCTTTGGGACACAAAAGGGCAAATTTATCGAAAAGAATTTATGCGGTCATTCTATTATAAATACGTCGTACGACATGAAGTACTAAGCATTGATGATAGTTTTAGGGTGTTGCAATTGGCTTTGAAGGGTATCGACAGCTTCCACCAATCTCAGAGCCGGGTTGATAGAAAAGATAACACATCATGTTTCTCTGGTGAGGTCGATATTACATTTAAGTTGTTGGATGTTCTTACTTCACTAGATGTTCTTTTAAAATCTGCTAATGGCCGCCAGATACTGCAACGGTACTTGATTGACAAGAGTTATAAACCAAGTGAACTAAGTAAGTG